ACTTTAAACTGTGGTGCTGGAGAAGACTCTTGAGAGTCCCTTGGACATTAAGGAGATCAAACCAGTCAATTCTAAAGGAAATCAATCATGAATATTCATTGGAAGGACTGATGCTGAAGCTCCAATACTTTGGTCACCTGCTGTGAAGAGCTGATTCATTGGAAGAGACCTTACTGCTGGGAAAGATTGAAGGCAGGAGGAGAAGGGGACAACAGAGGATGAGATGGTTGGATGGCATCACCGACTCAACGGACATGAGTTTGAGCAAACACTGGGAGATGGTGAAGGACAGGGAAGCCTGGTGTGCTGCGATTCATGGGGTCTCAAAGGGTCAGACGGGACTGAGCGAGTGAACAACAAAGGAGAGGCTAGGGGCTCTCTTCCTGATTTCTCCAGTGTTCTGTTAGGAAGGTCACTCTGGGAGGTCCCAGACTGGAAATAGGGAAATTAGAGGCTTTAGTTCTGGGAGACATGGCCTCTCCCATCAATCTTGTTTCTTTCAATCCCAAGTCTCATCCCCGCTTTCCTGAGCCTGGAGTTTGCAATGAGAGTGAATTAATAATTCTGTAAGCTAAAAAAGATGAACAACTTGAGAGTTGCGAGGTAAGTTTCATTTGGGGCAACTGTAGCCCAGGAGACAGCACCTCTGATAGCTCTGAGAGACCGCTCCAAAGAGGCAGGTGGGGGAGGGTCAATATATAAGATTTTGGTGAAGCAGGAGTTCAGTGCAATCAAGCACTTTTTTTTATAAAAGGCTTTCAGCTAGTCACGAAGAGCTGATGCCACCATGAAGGGATTTAGTGCTTTTCTACATATAAGGAGATGCAAGGATTGGGATAAAGACCTGTTTCACATGTTTCCCTGGAGTACAGATACCTCAGTCTGCACACTGAATTGCCCTCAGGGCATGTTGAAGGTTGGCACCTGGAGCAGCACAGGGCTCAGTCTCCTCAAAGGCAGGTGGCAAATGCCTTTATTGTTATTCCATCACTGGCAAACGCTCTTGGCAAGTGCCAATTTGTACTTAACTGTTCCTTGGACTTAAATGGACTTGAATGCTTATGAAGAGCTTTTCCTTACTTTCCACTCTTGATTCTCAACTCTGCTCTATAAGCTAATTAGATAAGACACACATTTATCCTCTGAGTCATTAATAACAAAAACAGATGACATGAATCACACTGATATCCTCAATTAGCAGTTTGGAGCCCGCTCAGAGATGTCACAGGGCTTGTTGAAGTTCACTCAGCTAGTTTGGGTAGAATCACGGCTTGCACCCAGGTGGCACTTAGACTCTGGGAGTTCCACTTTAGCTGGCAAGAACAGGGAAGACGAGTCTGGAATTGGCTTCCCTTCCTGGCCTATTTCTGTCTTTTTAAAAAATAACATTCATTTATTTTTGGCTGCGCTGGGTCTTCATTGCTGCACGTGGGTTTTCTCTAGTTGTGGTGAGTGGGGGCTAGTCTAACTCGTGCAGGCTTCTCATTGCCGTGGCTTCTCTCTCTTTTTTTTTTTTTCCTCCAACCAGGTTTATTAAACTTAACAAAATTCTATATACAAGGTGACCTAAACCTGCTGCTTCAAAACATGATCCTTTCCTAACTAAATCCACAGAGTGTCAAAAAACAACCTACTCTAAAATTAATAGAAAAGTGCCCAGTGCATATTACATGAATGGTTTAATAGTTCTATGAGATAATTAACATAATGTATGACTGAGTCCCTGTGACAGGCTGCAGAAGAACTGATGTGCAGGAGAACTGATACGAGATGTCAAGAGGCCATTTTGTGCACTGCCACTGTGATGCCGTCGTGTTTCTGGATCATAATGTTCCCATTATCTGATTCTAAACACACCACAGGAGTATCAGTGGGGTCTGAGGTTAGCTTAGCTGCTTGCTGGGCTAGAACAGATATCACCCCAGCATGCTCATCTGACAGGGTTCCACGGCAACCTAGATTGAGTCCTTGTGAATCTGTGCACAGGACTCCAACGATGGATGGATTCTTCATTGTGTCCTCCAAATGCTGCTCTAAGGTAGCCTCCATCTCATCGCGGGTCGCCTCCTTCTTCGCCACTCGTGGCTTCTCTTGTGGTGGAGCGTGGGCAACCCTAAGGCATGTGGGATCTTCCTGGACCAGGGATTGCACTTGTATCCCCTGCATCAGCAGGTGGATTCCTAACCATTGGACCACCAAGGAAGTCCCCTGGCCTATTTCAATGTTCTTCTCTCTCGGGGTGAGTGAGCTGGTCCCTGATACCTGACTCCCATCAGACCACAGAAGACAAGCCAGGTGGGAATTAAATGGGACTTTCTCCGGGAGTTCTCATTCCTCCTTCAGCACATCGTTTAGCAGGCTGTGCCCCTTCTTGAAGGGTCTTTGACCCAGCCTCCACAGGGCCCAGTGAGCCTCCTCCTTCTTCCTGAAGTTATCCCTTGCTTCCTGGACTGCTCTGGACTTCTGCTGCTCCTCTGCCTCTCTCTTATCTGTATCCTTTGTTAATGCTTCCCCCTCCTCACCCCACCAGGCAAGGAGCAGAGCAGGAGAGCAGCGACCCAGGGCCTTGACAGGAGGTGGTGACGGAAGGAAGACATGGCTCTGGGAAGGATCCACAGGCTCCTCAGAGGTGTCTGTGTTGAGATGTGCAGACTTAAAGGTAGATGAAGCACATTCTGGATGTGGCTCTGTCACTCTTGGGCTGGAAAGCTTTGACTGAGGTCCTCACATCAAGGGGGAAATCTTACAAGGGGAGGGTTCAGTGAGATAAAATATACATGGAAGTGCAGATTTCAAATGCCAGTGACTTAATAGCTATTCCATAAATAAAGTGTTTGTGTAGAGAAGAAAAAAGGGAAGAAGGCTTTGCACATCTCAAATAGCCAGGCTGCCTATCAGGGACTGTCTCACCCTGGGCCCTTGTCTCCACTTTCTGGCTTTTTCTTTTTTTTTTTAGTTTTTAAAAATTTAATTTTAATTTTTTTAATCTTTGGCTGCACTGAATCTTTGTTGCTGCACATGGGCTTTCTCTAGTTGCAGCGAGTGGGGGCTGCTCATTGCAATGGCTTCCCTTGCTTGAGGCATGGGCTCCGGAGTGCGGGCTCAGTAGTTGTGGCACATGGGCTTAGTTGCCCTTCAGCATGTGGAATCCTCCCAGGCCAGACCAGGGGTCCCTACAGTGGAAGCGTGGAGTCTTAGCCACTGGACTGCCTAGGGAGTCCATATTTTGTATTGTTTTGTTTTCGGTCTCCATTCTCTTTTTTTCCCTTTCTTTTTTTGGATTATAGTTGATTTACAATGTGATAATTTCTGCTGTACAACAAAATGATTCACTTTTACATTTATACATGATATATAATATATATAAAATACACCTTTTAAAAATATTCTTTCCCATTATGGTTCATCATAGAATACTGAATATAGTTCTCTGTGCCATATGTAGGGCCTTGTTGTTTATCTGTTCTATATATAATAGCTTACATCTGCTAACCCCGCACCCCATCCCTTCCCAATCCCCTCCCCCTTAGCATTGATCTCAACTTTCTAGCCATCTTCCTCCTGGCCTTGTAGGAGCTCCACCTGCTACAAAGTGCACTCTAGGGAATTTCTCCTCAATGACCTTATTTCATGTGGACCTACAATGATATAGGTATGCCTGGCCAGCTGCGTGGGGCTGAGAGGGGAAGGGTGGGATGATTTGGGTGTGGGGAACATCATGGTATAGGATGAGGAAAGTGAAATAAGACTTTCCTTTGGCCAAAGGCCAAAGCTTTGTGCCTTTCTCTGAGGAATTTCCTAGCACCTGAGGTTCTGTTGACCTGATCTCTAATTTCTTTTGAGGTTCTGCTTTTTTCCTTACAGAGTCCTGTCTCAAGGTGAAGGCAGGCTGGCCTAGCAACCCAACCCTGCCGAAAGTTACCAATGTCACACTCTCCTTACTGGGGTTGTAGTTTACTATGTAATGATGTTTTCCTAGACTGCTCCCTAGTCCTACTCCAGGTAGGTACAATAAGTTTTATTGTCATAAAATATACTTAACATAAAATTTATCATTTTAAACCATTTTTAAGTGTACAGTTAAGTGGCATTAAGTATATTCACATTGTTATGCAACAGTCATCACTACCCATTTCAAGAACTTGTAAAATCTCAATAGGATGAAATGCTATACCCAGTAAATAATAATTTCCTATTTTTCCCTCTCCCCAGTTTCTGGTAGCCACCACTCTACTTCCTGTCTCTATGAATTTGATTACTCTAGTGGAATCATAAGTGTAAGTAAGGGAGATCATACAGTATTTTTTCCTTTGTGTCTGACTTGTTTCACTTAGCACAATGCCTTCAAGATTCATCCATGTGGTATCATGTGTCAAAATTTCCTCCCTTTTTAAGGCTCAATAATAATCCATTTATGTATCAATGTATACCACATTTTGTTTATCCACTCATCTGTTGATGGACCCTTGGGTTGCTTCCACCTTTTGGCTGTTGTGAATAACGCTGCAATGAACACTAGCATACAAGTTTGTTTGTATCTCTATTTTCTTTTGGTTATATACCTAGGAGGGGCATTTCTGGGTCATATGGTAATTCTCCGTTTAACATTTTGAGGAACCATCAAACTGCTTTTGTTAGCAACTGTACCACCTTACATTCCCACTAGCAATTTATGGGGATTCAAATTTCTCTGTCCTCATTGATGTTTGTTATTTTCAGGGTTTTTTTTTTTTTTTTGCTATAGCTAGTTTAATGTGTAAAGTAGTATCGAATTATGGTTTTGATTTGCATTTACCTGATGACTAATGGTCAGAGAAGGCAATGGCACCCCACTCCAGTACTCTTGCCTGGAAAATCCCATGGACTGAGGAGCCTGGTAGGCTGTAGTCCATGAGGTCACTAAGAGTCGGACACGACTGAGCGATTTCACTTTCATGCGCTGGAAAAGGAAATGGCAACCCACTCCAGTGTACTTACCTGGAGAATCCCAGGGACAGGGGACCCTGGTGGGCTGCTGTCTGTGGGGTCGCACAGAGTCGGACACGACTGAAGTGACGCAGCAGCAGCAATGACTAATGGTATTGAGACTCTTTTCAAGTGCTTAATGGCCATTTGTGCATTTTCTTTGGAGAAATGTCTACTTAAGTCCTTCGCCCATTTTCTAATTGGGTTGGTTGTCTTTTGTTGTGGAATCTTAGAAGTTCTTTATATATCCTGGAATGTTGAATCCTTATGCGGTATATGATTTGCAAATATTTTCTTCCGCTTTGTAGTGTTTTTTTTCCTGTCATGATAGTGCTCTTTGATATACGAACATTCTTAACTTTGATGAAGTCCGATTTGCCTTTTTGTTGTTGTTATTGCGTATGCTTTTGGTGTCACATTTAGGAATCCATTGCCAAATCCAAATATGAAGGCTTACCCTTATGTTATCTTCTATTTTATGGTTTCAGTTGTTATATAATTACCCATGGTGGGTGGGTAAACTGTGTGTGTGTACGTGTGTGTAGGGATAACAGTTCTGGTTTTTTGCTTGAGTCTTCGCTTTGTTGAGCACTTAAAGCACTGCATATACTTTATATCACGGTGTTATCCTAATTTAACAAATAAGGGAAGATAGTTTCAAAGAAGTCAATTGAGGCTCAGAAGTTACATGATTTGCCCAAGTTAGACAACCAGTTAGGTAGCCATGTTGGTGCCCCTGGGGTTTTAGTAACGTGCGACTCAACTGCACAGGAAAATAATGACAATTTGAGTAGTAAACAACGCCTGTTGAGAGCCTGAGTTCAAGGGATTCCAAACCTGTCTCTCTCTCACTACGACTCCCTGCAACCTCACCCCATCTTCCGCCCACTCCAGCCCTCTTAGGGCTGCCCCGCCCGAGACCTAAAGCTTCCATTGGCTGTTGGTTACAGGCCTCATGCTCATACGAGAGGAAGTAGCCAATCAATGTGGCTCGTCTTCGCCCAGCCCGCCCGCGCTAGATCGCGTAATCGTTGCCCCTCCTGTGGCATGTCGGGAATTGTAGTCTAGTGACGCATTGCTGCCTATAGTGAAAGGAGATCGAGAACTACTAGATCCAGCAACCCAAGCGCCGAGCGGTGCAGCTTTTAGGAGTACCCCTCCAACAATCTGGATCTGCAACCGGCATCCTGGAACAGGTGAGAGAGGTCGAGGGCTGGGACCGGAGGCAGGGGTAGAAACTCGGTCTTAGCTCTGTAGCGCAACTTTAAGGCACAGGAGGTCAAGTCTGTTGTGTCGGTGTTCCCCCGTTTGGGGAGTTGGTGGGACCGACTGGCTGACACCGTGGATGTGCAGAAACTCCCGAACTCTGCCATGTGCTTTCCTGGAATCCCAGTATAACTGCACCCTGCTTTGCTGTTCCGCTGCGAACCCTACCCACCCACCCAGTTTTGCTCCGAGGCTGTCAGCAGTCCTGGCTCTGTGGGGGTCCAGTCCCAGAACCCCAGACTACATGTCCATAGTACCCAGAGGTTCTACTTTCACATCTCAAAGCCTGCGCTCCCCTCTGCCTGCCTACCGAGGGAGACCTGGGTTCTAGATTTGGCGCTGCCACTCCCCGGGTATCCTCCTACCTCCTAGAGCCTCAGTTTGGCCTCTATTAAAGAGGGTGATTTAAAGATCCTCCCAGCCCCCGGTCCTGAGGTCCTTTACTCTGAATTCTTCAGTCTGTGCTCCAGAATTTGGAGAAAGAAAGCAAGAGTATAGCAGTTCCAGAGGCTCCCTAGTGGAGGCTTGACGGTTCCTCAACCGGGTAATGTTAGGTGGCTTTGAGTCCTAGCCTTCTTATCTTAAGTGTGATAGCTGAGTCTCGGTTACCCAGCCGTACTTTTTATTCCCTGTGTTTCTTTCTGTAAGTGCCCTCCAGCTTAGTCCAGAAGAGAGTGGGGCATTCTGGGTACAGAGGTGAAAGGTTGGAGGGTGACTTGGGGAGCTGACAGCGTGCATCTGCCTCTGGTGCTTGCCCCTGCAGGGAGTGCTCAATGCCCCCTCCCTATGCCACCCTCCATGCTGCCTCTGTCCCGCTGGCTGAGATCTGTGGGGGTCTTCTTGCTGCCAGCCCCCTGCTGGGTGCCCCAGGACAGGTTGCTGGGTCCCCTGCGGCGACCCACCCTGGGGCACAGGTGCCCAGTCCTGGGGGCCTGGCACAGTGCCCGCTGCTGGTGGCAAGCGTGGACAGAGGAGCCTCGGTGAGTTTGGCAGGGGTGAGGGGCCTTGGGGAGGGGAGCAGCTGATTAGGTTTCTGACTTGTCCTCCCTCTTGTCAGAGCATTTTACTCCTCCCTCAGAATGAATGGAGACCAGAAATTGGATGCTTACGCCCAAGAAAGGCAGGATTTCATCCAGCACTTCTCCCAGATTGTCAAGGTGCTGACTGAGGAGGACATTGGGCACCCAGAGACAGGAGATGCCATTACCAGACTCAAGGAGGTGAGGGATTTACAACTTGAGAGGGTGAACCTTTGCAATCTCTGTGCATGTGTGGGGTCTCTTTCTGGCTCTGGAGTGACTTTTGACAGATGTGGGAACAGACTTTTATCTGAGAGTCCATTCTGGAGGGGGCGGAGCCCGGGCAGGTCCAATCAATCCAGCTTTGTGGTTCTGGTAGGCCAGACATACTGCTTTGCATAGGTGTGGAGGGTCCTGGGGGTGAAGGCCTTGAACCAGGTAAGTCTTTGATTTTGTTGAGACAGGGAATTAGGTGTCCAGAAATCATAAGGGGCTACCTTGGCAGGGACCTGGGAGGAAGGGAGGAGGCAGTCTGAGGTGGGGCTGAGTGAAGCTAGTGTTCCATCAGAAACCCCTCCTCTAGGGCAGGAACTGTTTGTTGAGATACCTAAGTTGCCTTATTCTTCTGGAGTATCTAGTAATTCTTTTTGTAAATGCTGTCTCATTTGTCTGAGGGAAACTAAGGAAAAGAAAGTCTGTACTGGGATGGAGATTAAAAAGCGAAGTCTCTTCCCAATGAATTCCATCTGGTTGACAACAGGGCAGCAGAAGGCAAAATGAGAAGCCCCAGCAGGAGGTGATGCCATTGAAGGAGTAGCGGATGGTCCCCCCAACCTGAGTCCCCTCCAAGCTGTCCTCTGGCTAACTTGGGGAGGAGGGGGCTTGTCTTAGTCAAGTGAGAGGCTTTTTATTTGCAGATAGGTTGAACTGTGGAAGGGGGCACAGAGGAGGTGGCAGAAGAAAGGAGGAATGGGCTGTGAAGAGGAAGTTAGGAGAACTGGGGATGGGAGAGACCTGAGCTAGCCATTCCCTTGGTATGCGCGAGCGTTTTCCCCAGGTTCAAGCCCTGCCTGGGTTTGGGAGCAGATTTTAATCTCCAGTATGGAGCCTTCAGTGTTCTGAAGAAGACAACGCAGAGAGAGCCTGGGGACTGGGGAACTTCCAGCTGTGCTCCACGACTTGGAAGAAGCCAAGAGAGTAGTAGTTCAGAGGCTGCCTGGAGGAGGGGTTGGGATTGAGGAGGATGAAGTTAGGTTCCCTGGTCGCCAGTGGGAGAAAACAAGGAGAAGTCTCAGAATAGCTGCTCCTGACACCTTGCCCCTCTGCTCTTTGCCCAGGTCCTGGAGTACAATGCCATTGGAGGCAAGTACAATCGGGGTTTGACGGTGGTGGTAACATTCCGGGAGCTTGTGGAGCCCAAGAAACAAGATGCTGACAGTCTCCAGCGGGCCCTGACTGTGGGCTGGTGTGTGGAACTGGTGAGAAGGATGGGGAATGGCAGGCGAAGACGAGGTTTACTAGAGTGGGGGTGCCCTGGGTGGGGTGGGACAGGAGGGATGGGCCTGAAACTCGGCTTCTCCATTGTTTCTGTGCCCCTGGTGTGCTGGGGCCAAACTTAGGAATAAGGGTTAACAAATGTGGGGAGGCTCTTTTACCAGTAGGTACAGGTTTGACCTGTACTCTAGCGGTGGGCCTGCGCCTTGGAACTGGCCATGAAGTTGTCAGCTCGCTCTTCTGAGCAGAGGACAGCCATGAAAGTGAGATAGTTCTTCTAGAAGATTATCCTATGGCAGAGATTGAAAACTGGAAGCCTATTGGTAGTTTTCGAAAATATTTTAAAATTAAGTTCCCTAAATCTAACAAAAGAAGAGATTTCACATGAAACCCCAGATGTCTTGTATCACATGGGAAATTGCTAGATATGGGTCCAGAGTCCCATATAGCAACAGTTGGCCGAAGTTGAATTGAAGCCGCTTCCCCAAGACTGGAGATGGACTCTCTTGGGTGGGTCTGTCTCTGTTTTGCTCTAGTCTTCCTGTCTCCAAGCTCAGTTGGCTCTTGAAGGTGTATGGTTTGCTGACCTGGCCTAACGTCCCCATTTTAGGCTTCCCAGGGGGACTAGGTTCTGGAGTTGGGGGGTGCTAGGCCCTGAGGAGTGGGGAGATGAGCCCAGGAGGGAAGACGCTGTGGCCTAGGCGAATGATGGGTGATCTTGGCCTGCGGCGAGGAGAGGCTGGCCTGCGGGAGGGTGTGATGAGCTCAGCACTGGCCATGCTGCGCTCTTGGTGTGAGCAGATCATGTGGAGCTGTCTGTCCTGCAGGTGGTGGAATTTCCAACCTAGAGCTTGTAAGGGAGATGGGGCTATACAGTAGGGATTTGCCTCCAAGGGGGTAAAAAGATGATGGCCTCACTGAGGATGGGCCCCTTGTGACAGAGGTGCCCTTCTAGGGATCGGTGGTGCTGAGGGAGCCCATAGCCACAGACAGCAGGCAAGGAGTGAAGGGCAGGAGGATAAGGGCAGAGCTGTGGGGGGCCCAGCAGTTCACTTGGTAAAATCAGTTGTTACTAACCTTAGCTGCACTGTGGGGTTGGGTTGGTTTGTTTTGACCAAACCGTGCTGCTTGTGGGATCTTAGTTTCCTGACGAGGGATGACCTTTGGTCCTGGCAGTGAAAATGCTGAGTCCTGCACTCAGTCGTTACTGGACTTCCAGGGAATTCCCATGTTTTCTTAAAAGCAGCTGTACTGTGACCATTTCCCCCAAGATCCCATTTGAGCAGTCCACCACTGTTTTGGATGATTTTTGTTATAATCTCTGCTTTTATCTTCCTTTCACTTCTACCACATCTCCTTCAGCCTCTTACTTTTCTATTTCAGCATTTACCTCCGAAAAACAAGGACATATGCCTATATAACCACAATACCATTTTCACATCTGTCATAGTCTGTTTGGGCTGCTATAACAAAATAAGATGGTTGGATAACGTCACCGATTCAATGGACATGAACTTGGGCAAACTCTGACAGGTAGTGAGGGACAAGGAGGCCTGGCGTGCTGCAATCCATGGGGCTGCAAAGAGTCGGACACGACAAAATACCAGTGACTGGGTAACTTATAAACAACAGAAATTTATCTCTTACAGCTCTGAAGGCTGGGATGTCCAAGATTAAGGCACCCACATGACTGGGTCTTACCAGGAGTCAGACTTCTCTTCCTGATTCATAGCCAGCATCTTCTTGCTATGTCCTCAAGTGGAAGGGGCAAGGGAGCTCTTGGAGGTCTCCTTCATAAGGGCACTAATCCCTTGCATGAGACTTCCACCCTCATGATCTGAGCACCTCCCAAAGGGTCCACCTTCTAATACCGTTATCTTTGAAGGTTAGGATTTCAACATAGGAATTTTGGGGGGAAGCATTCAAATCAGAGCAACAGCCATGATATTTAACATTGATATTATAATATTATCTAACATATATTCCATATTTAAATATTCATAATTCTTCCCCAGTTGTCTACTATAAGGTGTTTTTTTTTTTTTAAACATCTCGGATCCAGGCAGAAGTGATGCATTGCATTTGTTAGTTTTTCTTCAGTCTTTAGAAACTTCCTCCATCATAATGGACTTTTTGAAAGTCTAGGCTGATTATTTGATAGAGTGGCTCACAGCCCAGTCTGATTAGTATCTAGAGGAAATAGGCAGGGTAGACATTTTGGTAAGGATGCAGTATGGGTAATGTGGTGTGTTTCTCCTTACTTCCCACTGTTAACGCATACCTGGGGAGATTACTAAAAAAACCCAACCCAGTACTGCGGTAAAATCCCTGTAGATTTAATGTTTTCCTAATAAATAGAAAGTGCGATTGAGGGGCAGAGGAGATTGAGGGAGGCCAAGGAATGAGTGCCAAGGATCTTCAGAGACGATCCTGGTTGAGTGGTGCTGGTTGAAGCCAGCTGGCCCTTGCAGCCACTCGGGAGGCAGTGGGGCCGTGGCTTCAGGGAACAGTGCCACTCCACATGGACACATTGGAAATAAAGTGTGTGCCCCACTCGAGGGCGAGGTCAGAGGGAAAGGTGCAGATGGAGGCCTCCTTCCCCGGGGACTTGGCCTGGAACGACAGCCCTGTCTGCACTGTACACAGCTGAGCTGGTAGCTAGTGGTGGGTACTTCTCCGGGCCATGCAGACCCACTGGGACACACACAGGGATCAGGGTGGGGTGAAGGTTTATAAACTGGGTCTTCAAGGAATTCCTATCAGTGGTTCAGTGCTTAGGGCGCAGCACTTTCACTACTCAAGTAGGGCCCAGATTCAGTCCCTGGTCGAGGAACTAAGATCCCACAAGCCATGTGGTGCAGCCAAAAAGAAAAAAAACAACAAACTGTGTCTTCACAAGCTGTTTGAGGGAGCCAGAATGTGTAGCCTGGGTGCTAGAAGTATCCCCGGGAGAAGTTACGGTGGTTCATTCTCTCATGTATTTCTTAGACAAACATTTATGGACCAGCACTGTGCTGGGCTTTGTGAATGCCATGCAGTCAAATATTTCATCCCTGCCTCAAGGTAGTTCACAATCCTGCAGGGAGCCAGCATAGTCTGGTACTTTCCAGTAGGCTGGCACTCAGAAGAGGAAGCCTTTTGAAGATGTTTAAGAGCCACGGGTGAAAGTTACCAGGAGTCAGACTTCAGTTCCACCCTATTAGACCCAGGCTCCAAAATGAGCTTCCTGAGGTGGGGTTTTGTTCCTGTTTGCTGGAGTGGGTAAGCAGTGCCCGGAGAGAATGCAGGAACTGGTCTTTCTTGTTCCTGAAGTCCTGTAAAGTCATGCTGCATGAAGAAATCTTGCTTGAAACCCTCCCCGAAGCTTTTGGCCAGGGAGGAGTACAGTATATGAAGATATTTCATCATCTCCCTGATACCAGGGATTGTCTGGAGATCTGTTATGTCTCTTACTCTGAAAACAAGGGAGTTTTTTGTCCCTTTTTATAGTTGGGAAGCCTGAGCCAAAGAAGTCATACAATTTTCCAAAGTCTTACAGCCTAGATTAAAAGTCCTCAGTGAACTTCCCTGGCAGTGCAGTGGTTGAGATTTCATGCTCTCAATGCAGGGGGCATGGGTTCAATCCCTGGTCAGGGAACTAGGATCCCACAGGCCATACAATGAGGCCAAAAAAAAGCAGTCCTTGGCCTCATCCTGACCGACCTTCCCTGTTCAGTGATTCTTAAAAGCAGCATCTCTGTTGCTGGTAGAAGGAACAATCATAAGGAGCCCTGGGACTCATTTCCACTTTCCATCCTCCTAGCTCCAAGCCTTCTTCCTGGTGTCGGATGACATTATGGACTCATCCCTCACCCGACGGGGGCAGACCTGCTGGTATCAGAAGGTAAGTGGGTGGGAAGGTAGCAGTGGGCATGGCAACAGACTACTGGGAAAGGGTCACATGGAGCCTATGGAGGAGGTGTTACAGGTTCTTGGTGTGGGTCTAGGCCAGAAGTTGATTGCTTGTTTTTCTGTGTCCCTGACAGCCAGGCATAGGTTTGGATGCCATCAATGATGCTTTCCTTCTGGAATCATCCCTCTACCGCCTGTTGAAACTGTACTGTCGGGAGCAGCCCTATTACTTGGACCTGATTGAGCTCTTCCTGCAGGTGGGCTGCAGACTAGGGCTCCTACATGGCCTTGGCCTCTGTGGGACATTCTCGTCCAGATATGCCATGCTCACTGTCCTCTATGGGACATTCTTGTTTTAGGGTGATACCCAGATTTGCCTGGAAGGGAAGTAATTGAGGGGAGGGGGTTGGGGCAGGTGGTGGGACAGCTTCCCTGTGTGTGATTGAAAGGAGTGGTAAAGGGCATTGTGTGACTGTGTGGGCCTTGAGTTCGGGAGCCCTCTCTTCCTCCTGCCTTTCTGACCACCCAATTATCAACTGCTATGGGATGTAGGGCCCAAGATTTCAGAGTTTTCCCGCCCTGGAGAAAGCCCAGTTCACAGGCCATCTTCCTGCTCCTTAGAGTTCTTATCAAACTGAGATCGGGCAGACCTTGGACCTCATCACAGCCCCCCAGCACAACGTGGATCTTGGCAGATTCACAGAAAAGAGGTGAAGGACCATGGGAACCATATCTGGACAGTGAGAGGGAGGGCTGGGGGGGTGCATAACCCTTCTAAGGAGTTTCTCTTCTCCCTGCACTCAGGTATAAGTCTATCGTCAAGTACAAGACAGCTTTCTACTCCTTTTACCTTCCTGTGGCTGCTGCCATGTATATGGTGAGTGAGCCTCTTCATCCCTTGCTGCCCTGCTCATGTGGGCCTTTCAATAAGGAGGCCACGGAGCAGACATGCCCCCACTATGAATGGCTGAGTGATCTTGAGCAAGTTACTTAATCTTGCTGAGCCTGTTTCCTTAGCTATAAAATAAGGATAAAATCCCCACCTGTGGGACTAATTATGAAAAGAACCTAGTGGTTTACATGAAAGTGGACAGCCCATCTAGGGGGAACAATGAATTCTCCATCTGTGTACAGTAGTAGGAGTGGGGAGGAGATAATTCAGGCTGAGGGAGAAGACTAGATTCAAAGGCAATCAATGGGATTAACTATCTATGCTGACCTTCTCCAAGTTTCCTTTCCATAGTGAAAGAATTTGGAAATGGTAAAAAGATTAGGAAGCAGGATCAGAGCGACTCAGAGACTGAGCCTTGTGAGAGAAGAGAGTCTGAGGGCCTCCAGAATGGACTCACCTCTGCTATGACTTGCAAGAAGACCCATAGCTAAAATCAGTGGGATAGAAGGTGAACCGTCAGCCAGGACTTCCTTTATCAGGGAAGCCAAGGATGTCTGAAAGGAGAGAAGACTTGGGGGGCTGTACTGGGGCAAGACCCTCTTCGTGGGAGGAAGCAGCCAGGAAGATGCAGGCACCTCTGGTGTATGACTTGTTAACCCCCTTTTCACTGTAGGCGGGCATTAATGGAGAGAAGGAGCATGCCAATGCCAAGAAGATCCTGCTGGAGATGGGAGAGTTCTTTCAGATTCAGGTAGGAAGGCATGGGGCACTGGCAGGAAACAGGCTCCAGCTTTGCTCTTTCCCTGCCTTACAGCCTCTTCATTCCTCCTTTTCTGCACCCCCTCTGCCCAGGATGATTACCTTGATCTCTTTGGGGACCCCAGCGTGACGGGTAAGATCGGCACAGACATCCAGGACAACAAGTGCAGCTGGCTGGTGGTTCAGTGTCTGCAGCGGGCCTCTCCAGAACAGCGCCAAATCCTGCAGGTGCCCTAGGGTGTGCTGTGGACCCCCAAGCTGTGGAGTAGGGAAAAGAGCAGTGGTTTTTCAGTGGGGGTGATTTGCCACACACACCCACCCTGGCATTTGACAGTGTCAGGAGACATTTTTTTTTGTCATCATAACTTGGTGTGTGTGTGTGTGTGTGTGTGTGTGTGCCTATGCCACTGGGATCCCTGGTGGGCAGAAGCCAGAGATGCTGCCAAATACCACACATACAGTAGCTTCCCACAAAGAACTATCTGCCAGAAAATTCAAATGGGCCAAGGGTTGAGAAACCCTGGGGTAGAGGAAGCTGAGGCCTGAACCCCACTGACTGAGCATTTGGTATGGCAGGGGGTGGGGTGGGGGGGGAGTGGGGAGTTCGAGATCTTAGTTACTCAGAGACCCTTGAAACTGGAGGCAGGAATGGAATGAATGAATGAATGGTATTGGAGAGGTTCTAGAATACCTGGATGGGGGAGTGGAGGGGACCTAGAGGTGCTGGGGGGTGGCTAATAAGCCTGTTTTCCTACCCCCGACCCTTCAGGAGAACTATGGGCAGAAGGAGGCTGAGAAGGTGGCCCGGGTGAAGGCACTCTACGAGGAGATGAATCTGTCGGCTGTGTACATGCAATACGAGGAAGACAGTTACAGCCACATTATGGGTCTCATCGAGCAGTATGCTGCGCCCCTGCCCCCAGCCATCTTCCTGGGGTTAGCACAAAAGATCTACAAGCGGAAAAAGTGACCTAGAGTCTGTGAAGGTGGGGAAGGGAGGCTTCTCAATAAATTATTGTCTAGCCTGTGGTTCTTCCGTTTCTGCTTGTGTCAGCCAGGGGCGCAGCTTTGTCCAGAATGGGCAGGGTGGGGGCCAGTTGCATGGAAGCCAGAACCTCAGGCTTTGGTTTCAGGATCCCTTTGGGACTAAAAGGTCCCTGCAGTGGGACCTTAGGATGCATCAAAAGCCATTGAGCTGGGCCTGGGTGGGTGACACAGGCAAAAGCATCAGGCGCTGGGGGCTGGGTCTGGGACTCGCCACGCCCATGCGTGAAGGGGCGCGGCTGCGCAGCGCTGGCGGGTTGTCCCAGCGCCCCTCCCCTCCTGTCTGTGCGGGCTGGGCGGGGACCGCAGCCGCGGAGCCCGACGCGGCTCCAGACGCCGGAGCGGCTGCAGGAAGACCCTGGTGAGGATGGCTTGGCCTGCGGGTGTGGATGGATGGATTGGGGCTCGCGGGGTGGGGCAGGAGAGGGGAGCAGTAAAAAACGAACAGAGAAGGGGTGGGGTGGAGCTGCACCATACAGACAAGTGCAGAGAGAATGGGACAGACATGCTGGTGTTCGCAGCAGGGTGAAGGTGTACCGCGGCCGTAGGCTGGAGCCGGAGCCGAGGTCTGTGCCGGCCGGCCTGCCGGGTGGAGTAGACAGGCTGACGGTTGCTCCTGCAGCTCGGTCCTTTCCCCCACGCCTGCCCCTTTCATGCTTCAACCAGCCGGACGCACCTCCCCCCGCCCCATTTCAGATCATCTGGGCGGGGCCTCTCGACCCCTTCCCCTGGGAGTGAGGGGCAGGGCCAGATTGCAGCAGAGAGGACCCAGGGGTCCCTTTTGGGCCCCAACCTTTTACAAGCCTCCGCACCTCCAAGGAGATCGAGGGCGCAGCCGCATTCTCTGACCCTCCCCGCCCCATTCTCGGGGGCGGGGGGGGGGGGGTTACATTCGACTCCACCTGCAAACACTGCAGCGGAAACTAATAGCCATTCGATGTCTATTTGCATCTCATTTAAATATTGTCCAAGGCGCCCTTCCACGCCTGCCCCAGCACCTAAGTCACCTTGGTGTCCTTCCCGCGGCCCGCACCCTCGCTGGCTGGGTTTCACTATCCCTCTCTTCTAGGGCTGCATCTGCGGTTGCCAGGCAAGTGGATGTGAGAGGCCTGATCCTCCTTATTCTCTAGAGGCCATCCTGTCGCCGCCGGCACTATGCTGTCCCCTCAGAGGGCTTTACTCTGCAACCTCAACCACATCCACCTCCAGCATGTCTCTCTAGGCTTGCATTTGTCCCGCCGTCCGGAGCTCCAGGAGGGGCCCTTGAGCACATCCCCACCCCCAGGGGACACTGGGGGCAAGGAGAGCCGGGGCCCCTGCAGTGGGACCTTGGTGGACGCCAATTCCAACAGCCCAGCCGTGCCCTGCCGATGTTGCCAGGAGCATGGGCCAGGCCTAGAAAACCGGCAGGACCTAGCACAGGAGGAGGAGGGGGCTGCCTCTCCCTCAGACCCGGGCTGTTCCTCCTCTCTCAGCTCCTGCTCAGATCTTAGCCCCGATGAGTCCCCCATCTCAGTCTACTCCAGGGACCTCCCTGGCAACGAGGATGTCCACCCTCAGCCCAGCATCGTTCCCCTGGAGCAAGGCTCCCCCCTGGCTTCTGCAGGCCCCGGCACCTGCTCCCCAGACAGCTTTTGTTGCTCTCCGGATTCCTGCTCTGAAGCTTCCTCTCCATCCGGTCCAGGCCTGGACTCCAATTGTAATGCCCTGACCACTGGCCAGGACCTCCTTTCCCCAGGGCTAGAGGAAGAGGAGGAGGCCGAGGAGCAGGACCTCCCTACCTCTGACCTTCCAGAGGCTGATGATGAGAAAATCGATGCTGGGAAAACCGAACCCAGTTGGAAAATCAACCCCATTTGGAAAATTGACAAAGAGACAACTGATGCTAGCTGGAAAATCACTGAGAACAATAACTCCGGTTGGAAAGTCAATGGGAATACTATTGAATGTTGGAAAACTGAACCTGGAAAATTTGACTCCAGTTGGAAAACCAATACAGGAATAACTGATTCTGGTTCGAAAACTGATGCAGGGAAAATTGATGGGGGATGGAGAAGTGACGTCAGCGAGGAGCCGGTGCCCCACAGGACAATCACGTCCTTCCACGAGCTGGCCCAGAAGCGCAAGCGGGGCCCAGGGCTGCCCCTCGTGCCGCAGGCCAAGAAAGACCGCAGTGACTGGCTCATCGTCTTCTCTCCGGACACCGAGCTGCCCCCCACAGGGTCGCTCTGCAGCTCCCAGGCGCCTCCCCGGGAAGTCACCACCTTCAAGGAACTCCGGTCCCGAAGCCGGGCTCCGCCCCCGCCAGTCCCGCCCCGAGACCCCCCAGCTGGCTGGGCCTTGGTCCCACCTCGGCCCCCACCGCCACCCGTCCCGCCCCGGAGGAAGAAGAACCGACCTGGGCTGCAGCCCATAGCAGAGGGGCAGCCCGAGGAGGGCAGGGCGGGAAGCCCAGCTGCTGGTGAGGAGGCCCCAGCTTCAAAGGAGCCGGAGCAGCCAGGTCCTCAGGCTGGCACTGAAGGTAGGTGGCCATAGGAGGTGGCGAGAGGAGGGCTGGCCCTCGGCCTCCCCACACCTCCAAAGCTTCCGACCCGACCCCCTGTCTCCCCTCCATTCTGTGTGACTCATCCCACCCATCCTTCCCGTCCCCTGCTACCGGGAGCGCTCCGGGAAAGGGAAACTGGGTGGGTCCTTGGGTTACGGGACTAACTCTTTGCTCCCTCTTTCTCCCGCCCCTCCTTGCCTGGCTGCCCATCCCGCTGGCCTCCTTCCCCTCCGCATCTGCCCCGCCAATCCCGCCTGCAGCCGGTCCCCTCCTGCTCCCTCGGCCTCTGGTTTTTCGGTTCTCGGCTGACGGGCGCCCCCTGTTGCAGGGTGGGAGCGCGGCCGCAGCTGGGTCTTTGCTCCTGGCACCTCTGGCCAGTTGGCCAGGCGCTGGGCTGCGGCTCCTGGGGGCACCGAGTACCCCGGAGGAGCAGCTGCTGCCCGTCCGCCTGTCCCCGGTGGGGGCCTATTCGCCTCCGGCTAGGGGGCACCTTCCCTGCCTGGCCAGCCCTGAGCTGGCACTGCTGCTGTCCCCGCTCTTTCCCAGAAGTAGCACCTTCCCCCCCGTGGCTTCCCCACCCCGCCAGGTACCCGCCCCCCCGCTGCCACGGCCACCTCGTCCGCCGAAGGCCCCTCGCTGGACCAGGAGCCCACCGCCTCCGCCCAGGCTACGTAAGACGGATGGGGTCCAGACCCGCGGGCCACGCCTCAGGCGGGGCTGCCCCGCCCATTCCAAAGCCCCACCCATCCTCGGCCAGACCTTTGCTTTAGATTTTTCCCCGTTACCCGGCTGGGTCCAGCCCTTCGACCTGGGCGATTCCAAGATCATTGGTCCTGGGGAGTCTGGCCTTGCCAACTCCCCGTGCTGGGCGAAGTTTGCTGCTTTCCCAACTGCGTGGCCGGGACATAGTGGATACAGGCTTAGCCGGCTTCCACACACAGCTTAAGGGGGTCCCAGCAAATCCATTGTTAAGGACCTTGGGTCACAGCCTCTGTGGAATTCCCTGGCCAGTGCAGTTCGAGCCTGACTCCTACCTTGTACGGGAAGGGAGAAGGGTGAAGTTCGCTCAGCTCATTGGCCGAAGGGGATTCTGGTCACTCCTTCCCCTTGGGACCAGCCCCAGTGGGTTGCAGTGAGGGGCCCTCCGCCTAGCTGGCCCAGGACCCAGGTTTCCCCTTTCCGGAGCGTTCCAGCCTCCCAATCCTTGGGTCTGCTCTCCCTGCGTCTCTCCTCCCATTCCCGTCTGTCTGTCTTTCCATTGGTCCAGGCTCCCCACGTGCTCCCTGGGTCCCCGCGGACCTGACGTCCCCCCCTCCCCCGCCACCTCCCGCCAGGGTGTGGGGGGGAGTGGCGGGCACAAGGCTGCCCCTCCCTCCCCTGCCCTGTCATCTCCCGCCTTTCAGGGCCCAGCCTGGCAGGCGGGAGGGAGGTAAGCACGGCTGCCCCACGCTGGGACTTCCGGGATCGAGGAGTGGGAGCTGGGCCGTGAGGAAGGGAAATGGAAACCAAGAAGTGGGGAGCAGGGCGGCAGTACTGAGATACGAGCAGGCTTCCACTCCGGGAGCTGCCCTGTGCTCCCCGCAGCCCTAGGCTCCCTTTCCCAAGACTTCAGGGGCTGGGGTGTCTAGACCCATAGGAGATGACCCTTGCGAAAGCCTGGAGTCCTTGCGGGTGACCCCTGGTGTCAGTGCGTTCTTGCTTTATCCCAGTCCGTAGTTCCTGGTCGTTCGCCGGTGTCCCCGGGGCCCAGCGACTGTGGATGGCAGAAGCCCAGAGTGGGACTGGCCAGCTGCAGGAGCAAAAAAAAGGTAGGACACCCTGACTTTTGACCCTTGGTTTGGAAATCAACTTCCCCTCACTTAGGCCCTCCTCTCTCAGGGTCAAATTGTGTGAACTGGCCTCTCCGAGTCCCTCGTGGTTTGCCTGGGGAGAGACAAGGGGCTTTGAGGCTTCTTTCTCTTTCCCCGCCCCCCTCCCAGGTCTCCTGATAGCTGTTAGTGCTTCAGTGGATAAAATCATCTCGCACTTTGGGGCCGCCAGGAACTTGGTTCAGAAGGTGAAGGTGCCTGTAGGGAGGGTGCTGGGGGGTGAGGAGGGGCATGTAGCTCTGAGGGCGCAGGGGAAGGCTGGAGGTATCCCTGGACCCATGCCCATTGCGCCGCCTCCAGGCCCAGTTGGGGGATAGCCGTCTGAGCCCAGACGTGGGGCACCTGGTGCTGACCACCCTCTGTCCGGCCCTCCATGCCCTGGTGGCCGACGGGCTGAAGCCTTTCCGGAAAGACCTCATCACTGGGCAGCGGCGGAGCAGCCCCTGGAGTGTGGTGGAGGCGTCTGTGAAGCCAGGTGAAGGGGGCGAGTGTGGGACTGGGCGGAGGGCAGGGCTGGGGTCTGGCTGACAGCGCCCTGTGTCCTCAGGCTCCAGCACTCGTTCCCTCGGCACCCTCTATAGCCAGGTCAGCCGTCTGGCCCCGCTGAGAAGCAGCCGTAGCCGCTTCCACGCCTTCATCCTGGGCCTCCTCAAGTGAGTGGCCTTCTTTCTGGTGTCCCTCCCACAGCCTGGGGACTGCAGGGGTGTCCTGGGTGGGACATATGGTGGGTGTCCCATGTCCCCAGAGAAGGCCTTCCCTGTCCTAGTCTTATTTCCCATCCTCCACCCACAGAGGGCTGGTGTCCCTGACTTCTATTCCCTCCTCTCTCCCCCAGCACTAAGCAGTTGGAGCTGTGGTTTTCCAGTCTCCAGGAAGATGCAGGTCAGAGGCTCAAATGGGAGAGGATGGGCTTGCTAGACTAGGGGAAGTGGGAAAAGGGATCTCTTCTGATGGTTCCTCCTGATGCCAGAATGCTCTTGATCCAGATCTCCAATCTTACTACTCTTCTGTTTGGAACTCTTTTTGAGAAATTAATTTATTATTTATTTGGTTGCATTGGGAGTTCATTGTTTTGTGCTGCTTTCTCTAGTTACAGCAAGTGGGGGCTATGCTTCATTGCTGTGAGTGGGCTTCTCATTGTGGTGGCTTCTCTTGTTGCAGAGCACAGGCTCTAGGGTGCTTGGGCTTTAGTAGTTGCGACACATGGGTTTATCATACTCCGCGGCATGTGGAATCTTCCCAGACCGGGGATCGAACCTGTGTCCCCTGCATTGGCAGGTGGATTCTTATCCACTGCACCACCAGGAATGTCCTGCTTAGAACTCTTTTAAGGAGTCTTATTAATAGGAGTAATGACCCTAATCCTCACTATAACCTTCAAAGACTTCATTATCTGGCCTTTGCCTTCAGGTCTGGGGCTTTCCCTGGTCAACAGTCTCCTTTTCCGTTCTTCCTGCCCCAGAGCCCTACTTTTGCTGTGCCTCCTCCTTGAGTAGGGCTTCCTGCTCCTCCTGCCTCCTCATTAACTTTCATTCATCCTTTGGGTCCTTCTTCAGTGAAGCTCCATCCCCATTCCCTACCCCACTCACCCGTTTTGCTCCCATGGCCCTCAAGTCCTCCTTTTTGTTACTTATATACTTGCCACTGGGCATCCCAAGTGGCACTAGAGGTAAAGAATCTGCCTGCCAATGCAGGAGACCCAGGAGATGATTTGATCCCTGGGTTGGGAAGATCCCCTGGAGGAGGGGACAACAATCCACTCCAGTATTCTTGCCTGGAGAATCATGGACAGAGGAGTCTGGCTGGCTACGGTCCATGGAGTTGCAAAGGGCACGACTGAATCGATGCAGCCTGCATGCTTGCTTGTTGCCACACCCCTCTCTAGGCGGTGGTTCCACAGCAGGGATGTGGCAGCCCTGTATCCTGCTGAGTTCCCCTCTCTCTGCCCCAGTGCCCAGTTAGAGCGAGGCCCAGGAGGGTGTTTGTTGACTGGCCAGCTCAAGCCCTTGGACGAGGCCCAGAGCAGGGGCTGATGTTAGCCTGCTCTTTCCCAGGCCTGCTGTCCCTCCTGTACCTGCCCACTGGTTTCTTCTCCCTGGCCCGGGCTGGCTGCCCCTCCTTGTCCACGGAGCTGCTGCTCCTGCTGCAGCCATTGTCGGTGCTCACCTTCCACCTGGACCTGCTCTTTGAACACCACCACCACCTGCCCCTGGGACCGCCTCAGGCCCCACCACCCCCAGGCTCACCTCCAGCCCTGCAGCAGACTGTGCAAGCCATGCTGCACTGGGGGGGTCGGCTGGCCCAGAGCCTCCGGGGGGCTTCTGGGGAGGCCCCTCCAGGCCCTTCGGCTCCCTCAAGCTCTCCCAGCCCCTGCAGCTGGTGGGAGCAGCTGACCCAGGCCTCCCGGGTCTATGCGTCTGGCAGCACCGAGGGCTTGCCTCTTCCCCGGTGGGGATCCAGGCGCACCCGGCCTGCAGCTGAGGCCGCACCGGAGAGGTCCCTGCACACGGAGGAAGCAGCACCAGGCCGAGGCGTATGGCTGGGGAGACTGTTTGGAGTGCCTGGGGGCCTCGCAGAAACTGAGAGTGGAGCCCCAAAGTCCAGGTAATGGGGTCCCTGGCCCTCCCCCATGACCTCTGACCCCATCTCAGAGCCCTCAGTCAGCCCAATTTGTTTGTTTTTGGTGCACTGGGTGCTGGCAGGATCCTGACCAGGGATTGCGCTCAGGCCCTGGCAGTGAAAGCAGAGTCCTAACCTTTGGACCACCAGGGAACTCCCTCAGTCACTCTTAATTTGAAACTCAGTAGGGATCCTTTGGGTCCGACAGCCTGACTTTTCTACAGCCATGATGGTTATATTCTTAAGTCATGAACTTTTTAACAGTTATTAAATACCTGCATGATATTGTCCATTTTTCCTCTTGGCTCTCAAAGCCAAAAGTACTTTCTGGCTCTTTAGAAAAAACGGAAATATTTGCGGACTCCTGCTCCAGGGTTTGACCATTGGTGGCTCCTTAATGGGGTCAGGTACTCTTTAGTGACCCTCTGGAGCTAAGCCTGCTGGTTCCTTAGGTCCCTTTGTGGCTTTTGGTATGGTAGACCTTCATTGTCACCTCCCTAATCACCTTAAAGGTAACTGTGTCCCATGCCTGCCAACTCTGCCCTCAGCAGTGACCAACTCCTGACCTCTTGAACTGCAGTTGGGTCCCTCAGCCTCTCCCTCCCTCCAAAGTCCCAGATACTTGGTTCTTTCTATGGAGGTGGGGTGACCTCTGTGATCCTGCATCCTTTCCTCCAGGAGACCATCCAGCTGGTTGCCTCCGACAGTGAGTGTGTTGGCTCTGGTGAAGCGGGCGGCACCTCCTGAGGCTCCCTCATCTCCTAAGGAGCTTGAGGTCTCAGAACCCAGCACGGCGCAGACCCACAGGTAAGGAGGGTCAGGGAGAAAGCACTGGTGCGCACATGTTATGTTCCATGTGTGGGTTTTTCTGACTTCACAATGTGGATGGGAGGTGATGTAAAGTCAGACACTGCTTGGTTTGCATTGCATCTTTGCTGTTTATTATTAGTGTGATACTAGTTTCTCTGAACCTTTAGTTTCTTTTTCTGTAAAAAGATACTTTATATTTTTCTTATGGTTGTTGTGAAGACTAAACATGATTTTATAAAGGCATTAGTCACATAAAAGGTGTCCAGTTACCGGTCAGTTTTATTACTGTATGAGTGTATGAATGAATGCGTGTGTGTCCCCTGGGGGAACTGGGCTTTCCTTTAGTGGGGCCTTCTAATTTGTCACCAGGGGCTGTGTCATCTTTAGGGTTTGGCTTCTTTTAGGTTCTCAATCCATTGAATTTGGCTTCTTTTTTTTTTGGCTGTTCTGGGTCTTCGTTGCTGCTCGGGCTTCTCTCTTGTTGTGGCGAGCTGGGGCTACTCTCTAGTTGTGGTGCACAGGCTTCTCAACGCCCTGGCTTCTCTTGTTGTGGAGCACAGACTCTAGGATGCAACAGCTTCAGTAGTTGTGACTCCTGGGCTCTAGAGCACAGGCTCAAAAGTTGTGGTGCATGGGCTTAGCTGCTCCGTGGCATGAGGGATCTCCTCGGATCAGGGATGGAAAGCATCAAAAAGGATGCATTGGCAGGTGGACTCTTTACCACTGAGTCATCAGGGAAGCCCCTGAATCAGGTTTCTTGATCTTCCATTCAAGTACTTTTCAAGGACATACTATGTGCTTAGCATTATACTGGAGGAGGGAATGCAAAGGGAAACCTGTTGGAATCTCTGCCCTCAAGAAGCTTATAGTCCAGTGGGGATACCAGTTAATAAATGAGTGCTTACAATTTTGTGTGCTAAAGACTCTGGGGAAGGAAGATAGTCCTTTGAAGCCATACAGACAGGGCTTCTTCCCCAGGTCTGGGGACTCAGAGAAGCCTAGTGATGGTGTGGGCTATGCATCTTGCAGAAAGAACAGGATGCAAAGGTGGAGCAGTCAAAGTGTGGTAAGTGAGGAACTACGAGTACATGATTGGTGTGGCTGGAGTGAAGGATCCTGACAGTGGTGATGGGGAGGTCAGAGGTGTCAGTAGACCAGTGAAGGAAGCTGAGTATCACTTCAAGGCAGTGGGTGCCATTAAAGGGTCTTAAGCCCAGGGATGATAAGTTTTAGAAGGATCTCTACTGCTGTGTGGAGAATGGAGAGGGTGGTCAGGATTCAGGCAGACCAGTTAGATTATATGCCAGTGGTCCAGAGAGTATAGAGGCCTAAACTAAGACAATGGCAGTGAAGTTGAAGATAAATGGAGTGGTGGGAGAAACCAACATCAAACAGGTTTTGGTGATTGATTGGATGTAGAGACAGATCCCTTGTTTTTTTACTAGGAGTAACTGTATAGGTGATGCCATTTACCACTATAGGGAACCTAAGAGGAGGGACTAGTTTGGAAAGTTAAAATGAGTCATTTAGTTTGTGTATGTTGAATATGAAGCACCAGAGAAGTGCCAATTACAATAAGGTGCTAAAGAGTGGGTCTGGAGCTTAGGAGGGGGCTGGGGCCCCAAACAAATCAACATGTTGAAGAGACGTGGTCCCCGTGTCTCTCCCAGAGCCCAGCTGATGTCTACTGAGCTGAACCAACAGGGACATACATACCTCGGAGGTGGGGAGGTGAGGCTGGCGACAGGCACCCCCACCTCACTTCATCCCAGCATCTCCCTCTGGCTCCTCACAGGGCAGTCCGGGCTCTCTGTGACCACACTGCTGCAGGACCTGACCAGCTGAGCTTCCAGCGAGGGGAAGTGCTGCGTGTCATCGCCACTGTGGATGAGGACTGGCTCCGCTGTGGGAGGGATGGAGCAGAGGGACTGGTACCCGTGGGGTATACCTCCCTTGTTCTCTAGGCCTAGCACCTTTTCCTTTCCTGCACCTCTCTCTCCCTCTGTCACCTGGGAATGGAATGGCCTGTGAATACTCACCCATGTATACTGACTGTCCCCAAAGTACTTTCCCTGTCTGCAAAATGACACTTTCTTCCCATAGCCATTTCTGCTAATATCTAAAATAAACTTTCTTCCTTCCCTCCCATACCCATCTATAAGGTGAAATCTGCTCTTCCAAAATATATAAAAAGGAATTTCCCTCCACGCCATCTCTTTCCAATCTGTATTCTGCAAAATGGAAATCTAGCCCCCCCTCTATCTTCTTCCTCCGTTAAGTGGACTGCACCTCTATATATGCCTCAGTTCCCAAGACTTGAAGGGCCTCAGTTCCCAAGACTTGAAGGGCCTCAGTTCCCAAGACTTGAAGGGCCTCAGTTCCCAAGACTTGAAGGGCCTCTATAGCCTTCTTCCTGTGTATGGAACCTTCCCCCATCTCACCCATCCCACGTTGCCTGTATTTATGATGTACTCATGCTGGACTAGGTGCTGAAGTCTGGATACCCCTGGTGGGGGAGCCTGTGGTGTTGGTCTGTCTCCTTCCTCCTTTGTCCCAATAAAGAGTGGGAGTTGAATGTGTCTGTCACTGTGGGTTTCAGGACATAGGCTATGGGGGAGGGGAGGGAGGCTGTGTCATGGGGAACCCAAGGGAGATGCTTCCTTCCTAGCTGGGTCTAGTTCTGCTCCTTGAAAGGTAGCCCCTGATTGGTGCCTGCTCACTGAAGTGCATCTCTAGTCTGAGACTTGGTTGCTTTGCTTAGACTGATATAGTAGGAGCCTCAGCAGATATGGGAGAGCTGGCAGACAGTCCCTGAAATTGTACTTACAAGCTTCATAGCTGAGGTGATGGGAAAGATTAAAAGGTGTTAAAAAGGGACACTTTTTTTTTCTCTATTTACTATTGCCATTCTGCAGTGATATAATTTTAGGAAAAAGCATAATAACTTGATGTCTATTACTTTCTTAGGAGTTAATGAGTTTCCTTTCAGTCTTCTGAAATGAGAATAGGTAAATGCTCTAGAGCCTGGAGGATGGGGGTAGAAATCACTACAAATGATTGCCTACAGGAGAATTACTAAAAGGTTAGAAGAATAGAAAGCTATAATCAGTCAATAGGAAGGCTAGGGGGCAACTGAGAACTGGTGAAACTGAGGTGAAACAGAAGAAAAACATTTTAAATTTTCCTTCATCTTTGGAAACTTGGTTAAAAGCACAATGGGCTGCTGTTAGGAGAAAGGAGAAAGTAAGAGCTGACGCTTTGGAAATACTCAGGGGTAGGGTTGGTTAGACTCAGCTGTATCATACTTTTGCCATTTTCTAAGATTTAATGTTTTCTATTCCTGGCCATTTACAATATTCATCTGCTCCTTACTTTTTTTTTTTTGCTCCTTACTTTAATTTTGCTTTTTGTGTTTGGTGGTCCTCTCAGCTTTAGACCTCAGTTTGCATTTCAGGTGTTTTCTAGGGTGATGTTTTTCAAACTGGATTCTGACTGCCTCTGAGAATTCCTAGTTGTTCAATATATTCTTAAGAGTGGGAGTACTCAAGTTAATGAAGCTTCTTCAATTGCAAACTACTACTGCAAAAGAAGTTTTATTTTTATAATGTTTTTAAGTTATAAGACAGTAGATATTAGAAGACTATGACTTTGGGACCAGTATTTCTTAAAGTGAGATCTTTGGTGTATGTGGTGGGGTGGGCATGATTCTAAAGTTTCAGAAACCCTTTACTTGTAAGCAGCTTTCATTTCCTATGATTCAACCTGCCCTCTCCTTTTTTCTGACTCGCATCCCTATGTGCTTGGTTTTATAGTGGGTAATCCTCAAAAGTGGGAGGAGTCCTAGAACAATATTGTCAGAGCATCAATGAGACCTGGTGATATTGGCAGCTGGAGCCTAATGGTTATCAGGTAACAGAACATCTTGAGATAGGGCAAAGATTGATATAAAATTAGTTCTATGCTATTATCATATATTATCCAAACAGAATAGCTTTAAGTAGATGTTAAAGGGATATTAAAGTTTAAATAAAGATTAAAGAAACCTTAAATTAACTGCTACGGTATTGTTTTTGCAGCCATGGATAGACTGTTATGTAATAGTGGGATAAACCCTAAGTTCTTGCAGGAGTAGAGACTGAGCTCTTGTAGTCAATTGTCTTGAGGCTTCTGAGCAACTGTATTCTAGATGAACTCAAAGATTAAATGTCTGACTCCTGTCTAGGACAAGAGTTTGTTAGGTCTTTCAGTTGGCAGGAATAGATTTATCTTCCTTAGTAGGGGCAGGCTTTGGCTATTTCTGACAACTTTGCTATTTGCGGATGAACTTAAAAGATTTTGGAGTTCTGGCTCCAACACTAGTTCTAGATAATCTGGCAAGTTTACTTAACCTTCCCGAGGTTCAGTTTTTACTTCTACAAAAACGGGAATAATAACTACAGGGGACTATTATGAAGATTAACTAGCTGTAAGATCTTGGGTGAGTTACTTAACCTCTCTGTTGCTTCAGTTTCCTCATCTGTAAAATTTGGTTTTGGTACCTACCAAAAGGGCTGTTATGAAGATGAAATAAATGAATACATGTACATTGCTTACAATGGAAACAGTCTAACATAGTGGCCTAGAAAATGTAGTCTAAACTTACTGCCAACCTTAGAGGTTGTTAATGAGCAGTAGATGTCTGTGTGTTACAAGGGGTACAGGTGTAACTGATTATTATGTTGACTGGTTAGGCTTGGCCCAGACCAAAAAGGCTGTAAGTGCTGAGGAAAAGGTTTTATCCAACAGTCAACGGTGGTTGGAGTGCCCATGTGGGGCCTAGGATGCTGAGTGGTTTTAAACAAATCTTTTTGGAAACAGGATGAAGAAGATCTTGGGAATATAAATGGAGGATAGGAAAGAGGAAAAAAAATAGCAAGCTCACCACTCTGTAGTTAGGAAAAGTTTTTTCCATTTAATACTAGACTTTCAAGGATTGAGATGCAAGCTTTTTATGCAATTACATCCAATGTTAAAATTGGTAATACATAATTTACAAAGATTAACATCAAAACAATCATCTATTTAGATATGCTTTTGTAAAAAGGAAATATATTAGCAGCATTTATATTTTCCGCAATCACACAGCCTACAGACATGCAGACTAACTCTGTATCTATTTGCAGTGATGTAGTGCTTTGCCCCGCATTTCAAACACCAAAACCCACCTGGCAGCTAGGGGGTTCTTTTGTTATTATAAAATAACCGAAAAATAAAAAAAGGCATTAATTTCTACACCAGTAAGAAAAAACAAGTTTTTGCACTTACCTAACATTTGATTGTCTAAAAAACATTTCAGTTTTTAGTCTTTCAACAAAAGAAAGATAAAATGACAGAGCGTAGTGTCTTTTGCTTCTGTTCTCGCATTTTACAAAGTTTTTTTTTATTTTTTCTTTTTTTGAGACTTTTTTAAAATTTTAGTGTTTAACACTATTAAAGGAAATATTGAATTTTAATCTCTTTCTTGTCATTTTCCTGCTTTGACTAAAAGGAGACCCCCAAAGTGCCCCTATTCCCACCTCCCTCCCACCCGGCTCCCTGCAATGAAAACCAAAAGAAACCACTCAATCGGGCTTGGACATGCGATTTTCCCAGCTCCACACGTGAGTATCTTATACCCAGGTCTCTTAGTAATGTACAGTGCTTCTCTACAGTAAGAAAATACTCCAAACTATTTTCTTAATTCTCTTTTTTCTTTAATAAAATATTTATTCTGCTTTTTCTCTGTTCAAGGGGATCTTTGGCATCCCCTGTCTCTTTTACTTTTTTTTTTCCCCTCAAGATTGACACAGAAAGGAGAAAAAGAAAAATTCAATGGAATGGAAGGTGGTCAATGTTTCTACCTAAACAAGTCAGAGCGTCGTCATCCTAAGAGGAAATGTACAATTAGGACAGCATTGGTCCAATATTAGAAAAAGTAATGGGGAAATGTTTAACTATTGTATTGCTTACTAATCACGCAGCAGATATATATATATATATATATACATACATATATATATACAACACACAACTTGGCACATTTAAAAACCATCTTTTCTCTTATAAGAACATCTAAAACATATATGCATATGTATGTCTGAGAAGACAACAAAGCAAAGCTTTTTAAGTTTTATTTTTAAAGAGACAATTTATCTGGTAACTCCTGGTCAAGTGAATGGGAAGGAAGGTGACACCCTGGATATCCCTCCTGAAGATGAAGTCATCAGGAAGGTGAAGGAAGATGGGATTAGGGGCAGGGAGGACACACTGTCTCTTTAAGAGATGGACATTGAAAACTGTACAAGTAAAACAAGAAGTAGTGTTTTCAATTGATAATCTACACTCACAACAAATACTCTGATAGGTGAATACTGCTCAACAGTTTATGTAGTGACTTTTGTTGGGGGGTGGTTAGAGTTCATTTTTACGCAGGTTTTAAAATGATTTTTCTTCGAAATGAGTCTCCATTCGCACAGCACAGCAGACACACAAGAACCACAGCGCATAAACAGCACGTGTGCTGGCGGGGGCCTGGCCTTCTCGTTAGAAAAAAAATATGGTCGGCAGGTTATGAAGGTGAAAACAAAAATAATTACAATAAGGACTGTGCCCTTCTGACCCCATGGGGGCCTTCCCTATTCCATGATTCCATTTGGGATAGTAGAGGTAGGGAGGGGGCAGCAGTTACAAGTGCTTTGAGTTGTCAACTCACATTTTACTTTGACCTGGTTGGGGAAAAGAGGCGAGAGAAACTTTTCCTAGTCAGGGATCTCAAACAAGGCCCAGCTACTGTTTGTGTTTTAGGTCTCTAGGGGTAGCTCTTGGAGCCTATAGAGGACAGACAGGGTGGGGTGGGGATCCTGGCCCTGTCCCTTTGGAGTCTGAGTTATACCTGGGTATAGGAAGCAGCTTCTTAGCAGTGCCTGCAAGATCAGAGGATGACACAGAGAAACCCAAGCTGAGGAGAGGGGCAAGTGCTATAAAGTACCAAAAGATTCTGGTCATCCCCAATGTGCTCTGCCCTCCACCCGACATTATTAACCCTCAGGGTGAAGCAATGGAGAGGAAAACAAGTTAAGCTGAACTGTCTGGACAGATCCCCTTCCTCTTCCTCTCCACTAGCTCCAAGGTTTACTAAGTACCTAATGTCAACGACGTGGCCCCATTCCCCTTGCTGGACGGACCCTTCCCACCCCTGTCTGCACTCAGAGAACAGGAGGCAGGACTGTAGGCTCCACTGGATCCCAGATGCTTGATGTTCTCATTCTTTGAGGTTCACTTCCGAAAGCTGTTTTCTGGGATAAACAAAGTACGCCTTCGAAGTTTTCTGCCTGATCCTTCTTCCAGCAAGTAGGTCACATCGATGGCTGAAAACAGAACCAAGGAGGCTCATCAAACTCTACCCTCCCACTCCTTATTCCAGATTTGAGCTCTCAGGAAGTCACAGGAGTTCAATGGACTCTTTGCCAACCCACCAGCAATTCAGGCCTTCCTCCAGGCCAAATTGAAATAAGCTACCTTCCAGTGAGGAGATCCTTTCACCTCCCAGTTTCAGAA